TTGCAAGGAAATGAGACAGAGGATCAAGCTTGAAGAGTTGGGGAGCTTGGATCTGTTGCTATTTCATCAAGGGAGTCTTCTTGAGGTAATTTTCAAAGCCAAACTTCGTGTTTTGTGTTGATGTGCCAAATCTAGGGTTTCTTCTTGCATTTCTTGGCTTGAATTGGAAGTATGAGAGGTCCCATGGAGATATGGAACCTAGATCGGGACCTTAGCAGGTCCAGGAGACCCCATATGTCAAGCTTTATGTCCATTCTTTTGAGTTAGAAGCTAAACTTGCCATATTAGAGGTTGTTTCTTCAAAATAAGCCTTGTATGCATTGTATGGCAACCAAGACTGAGACTTTACGTGACAAATAAGCTTGGGAAAGCCAGATCTATGTATGTATGGAACGGATCTGACCGCAAAAGCCAGTTTTAGCTGGTTCATGGCATGGACTCGCCGAGTCTGAAGAACAGACTCGACGAGTCACTTGAATATTGTCCTTGAGACCACCCTGTGTGTAGTCCGGACCGAGTTATGGGCGACTCAGTGAGTCGCAGAGAGTTGGAAAGGTTTTGACAGGTGGACCGAGTCAGGTTGGGACTCGCCGAGTTGACCTTCGACTCGGCGAGTTGAGTCGCGGTGGCCTTATGATTCAGGCCCAGGAGGAACTCGTCGAGTCGGGGGAGTACTCGACGAGTCAAAGAGGAAAAACCTTGATAGTTGATTAAAATGCGTAGACTCGCCGAGTCACTATGGTGCACTCGCCGAGTCCGGTCCAAATTGACTAAAGACTGTTGACCAAGTCAACCTGTGTTGACTTGATAAGGATGGTCCACCTTTGTGGTACAAGTAATAATTATAGATTTATAATATCATAGGAGGATTGCACCTCAAGGGTTCGAGCCCGAGTGATTCCGGGATTCACGATTAGCGACTTAGCGAGGCATACGAGGTGAGTCTTCTCACTATACTGTACCCGGAAGGGTTTTGACTGTGTGACTGAAAGGTCGAATATGATATAAGATATATGCCTTATGTGTGTTAAGTTATTCGTTATATGTGCCATGTATGATATGTTTGATTTGGGCCGGAAGGCAACATGATATGGGCCGGAAGGCGTGGTCATATGGACTGTAAGGTTGACGTGGGTAGGACCGGAAGGTTTACCCAGTCGGGACGGAAGTCCCCTGAGACACATGGACCGGAAGGTCAAGGCCTGGAAAGGCGTACGTGTGTAGGTTGTATTTTGGGGAACTCACTAAGCTTTATGCTTACAGTTGTTGTATTATGTGTTTCAGGTACTAGCGAGGACCGTGGGAAGGCGCCAGCGTGACCGTACACACACTCGGGGAAACCATTTTGTTATCTTTTGTTATGTAATCGGTTGTGACTAAATTGTTACATTGGAATCTAAACTTATTACTCATGTTTTGATGATTGTAAAAATGAAAATTTTTGGTTGGAATTTTATGACGTTACAAGAGTCATTGAAACTTTTCAATGACATGTTTAAATCTCGATATGCCGCTCTTGTTTGTGACTGAGATACCGACGATCACAAAGCGGGTGTGAACGGACGTCAAATGAAGAAGTTATGAATTTATAACAAAATTTTCTGTCCCGGCCTATTAAAAATAAATAATAAAAATAAAGTCAAAATTAGCCGAAGGAGTCTAAACGAAAGTTGTAGAGCGTAGTCTCACCTTCGCGTGGATATAAAGAACGTCGAAAACGGAGTTCGTATGAAGAAGATATGAATTTTCAAAGTTTACTAAATAATTAATAATTAAATTTAATTATTAAACCTCAGTATTATCCGGAGGCGAGTCACCGGACTCATCCGGAGTACGCCCCGCGTACGGCGAAGGATGTCGACACTCGCACTCGAGGACTTCGGATGACGCATTTGCTTACGAACTCGGAGCAGTACGCCCTGCGTACAGCGAGGCCTCAGCCTCCTATAAATAGGATGCGAGGGCAGCCGGCTCTTTTGCCATTTTTCTCCCTTCTCTCTCCCGTTTTGCATCGTTTTGCGTGCCAGAAATACCCCAAAGCCCCCAGTAATATTCCCGAGTCCCGAAGCAAGTCCCGAGATCCCGAAGATCCCGAGAAGTGCGGTTCCCGAGCCGAAGCTCTACCCGCGAGAAGTTCGATTTTTGTAGAGATCTTCCGGATCTGCTGAGGATTACTACTTTTGCAAGTCGTAGTGTTGTCCGATCATCTTCTGATCAGGTGAGTGTATACTACCTTTCATAAACACGATAATAATACAAGTATGATTTGAGTGTATTAAGTATATTGTTGTTTATATGGGTGAATGTGTTGTTACTTTCTTCTAACGCATAATTATGAAGTATTTTATACGAGATACGTGTTATGTGTATATTTTTTTGTTATGTGTGTGAATGTATATTCACTTTCTTCTATCTTACCGATATGATTATTTCTATATGAAATACATGTTATGTGTGTGTGTGTCTCATCTGTTATATGGAAAATGTATTGATCAAGCATGCTATACAGGTTTTGAAACTATGTATAAAAATGTTTGTATTTATCTACTAATATGTTGGGTAGAACATGGGTAGATAGTTGGTGTGTAATAAAAAGATGAGAGGCCTCGATGTTGTTTTGATCCAGTCATCTAGTGGAATTTAGATGACGACCACGGACTTTTCTAGACAGTCCCGTGGAACGCTAGCAGGCTCATAACCTGTAGGTGTTAATGAACTTGGGTGTTCATTCGCTGTATTCCATCCCCCTCATGGTCTCCTTATTTGACTTATATTGCTAAGGAACCCCCGAAGCATGTGTTGTCACCCCGATGAAATATTCTTAGACTAGGTCCCTTGTGTTAGTTATTTTAGGGACATAAAGTGAGAATATCGGGAATGGGTAATTGGGTTATTGTTGGTTGATAATAATTAATTTAATTATTTATTGTGGGTTGAAAACCCTATATGCTCACCAGGCTCCCAAGCCTGACCCACTCAGTTTTATTTGTATTACAGGAAGTAGCGCAAGGGCGTAAGATGGATGAACCATCAAGTTGTTTTGTTTACAAGTCTGCATATGTATATATTTGTTGAATGACTTGTAATGTTATCGTTTATGCTTATTGGTCTGTATCGGAACATGACACCTCGAGTTTTGATTATATAATGAAAATACATTTTTTTAATGAAATGCTTTGGTAAACCTTGTTTTATCATGTTTTGTTTTTGGGAACAAATTTCGCAACTCTTTCAAATCAAAAGGATTTACTCTGAAATTATTTTAAAAGCATAAATGAAAATCGGTCTTTTCTGGCCGAGATTTTGGGGATGTCACAGTTTACTATATTGTTACAAATAAACTAGTATTAACTTTTCATATACGTATTATAATTATTTTAACGTGAAATAATCAATTAACACAATAAATACTACGTGATACAAAATGATATGATTTTTATGTGCCATTGTATATTATAACCAGTATATCATGAAACTCTGTAGTATTTCAAAAATTCAAGCTATTAGTAAGCATGTTTATTTATATGTTTATGCACACAACATTATACATACACATATGTTCATTAATTTGAAACATTCATTTTTATAAAAGCGAGCACACCACACTCGACGAGTCTGGTCGCGAAGACTCACAGAAACTTCCTCACCTACTCGACGATTCGTGGCACCAACTCGTCGAGTCTCTCCTTTTCCTTGAATAAATAAATACAATTAAATCATACCCGAAATTCTGGATGATACAAAGAGAACCAGGGTGTCCCAGATAGACTGCATGCCAGTAGGGCGTACTAAACGGGCCGAAGGCTCGGAGAACGTTCCAGACAAGTTGAAGGCCCAGTGAGGCAAAACAGTCATGTTGAAGGTTTTGTGAGTGTACCGGTAGACTGTAGGTCGGTGGAGCGTTCTAGTCAGACTGAAGGCTCTGTATGAATGTTGTTATTGTTATTATTATGATTATGGGTGACATCACAGAATTTAGGTCAAAGACTGTGAACGGTCAAGTTCACAGTAACTCTCATGGTAAATTGACTGATTGAGTTTTAGTGCATCTAATATAAAATAAATGACTTATTTCAAGTATTACGTCTAAATGTGTAAATTGACAAACAAATCAAACATCTCAAACTACAAACCTAAGAATACGTCTGAAAAACTGAAATTTCGTATTAAACAGTTATCAGCAACACAAACCTTGTAGTCTCGTAGTAAATGTTTCTCTGTTTCTGAAAATATAGAAAAATATCCAAAACGGATTTAGTATAAAAAAGATACGACCATTTGAAAATCCAAAACCAGTATAATATTGATTTTTCTTAAAATCGATAAAACTGTTTCTATCCGTCGAGGGCCTTGCACACCTCAAATGGAAATTCTGAAAGCATTTTGGGACTTAGACTATAACCTAATATTTAATTTCATATTTGAAATATTATTAGCAAAAAATATTTGTAAAAGTCATAAAAATCAGATCAATTAAACGCAAAACTTTAAACACGGTTTTCCCAGAGTTCTACAACTCTAAAAACTAATCCGTTTGAGTTTTTGGAATCCTAATAACCGAGACCGTTATTCTTTATTTTCAAAAAAAAATATTTGGTATCGAGATCGATGACATACAAATTGAGAAAGTTGGAAAATAATAATTATAAAAATATGAAAGAATTAGTTTTTAAAGGGTTGGAGACTTATATATATGTTTGTATACTTCATGAATTCCAAAGAATAATAACAATCCTATATAATAAATCTTGGAGTCGTAATTATCTATGAACGCACATATTTTTATATATACCTCAAAGTTATATAAATTAAAAACGTATATAAAATATATAAAAATGTAATGACTTTTAAGGTTATTAATACTTATGCGGATGCTTGAAATGTATAACTATTTATCTAAATATTAAAATGATCAACTCCTATACCATACTATACCATTCATACATGAAGTAGTGCAATATACTAATACCTACAAAAATACATAAGAAATAATTTTTGTACACAAAGTCAATGGAGGACAAGAGTTTCAGTATACTTAAACCAAAACTACACACAAGATAAACACTTTTCCTTATACAAAATCATAGACAAAGATAATTTTATACACAAAGATAATTTTACACACAAGCACAAATCACTTATTTTATTTATTTAGTTTTTATTTTTTTCAACTGCAAATCTATTCTAATCTACACAACTCCTAATTCACGGGACTTGAATACTCAACCTCAAAAAAGGAATGCAACACCAGATAACGCTGGCTAGAAGGCCTCTTGTAGGAATCACTTAATTGACAGCGAAAATTGGAGACTTTCACACTTCTTCAACCAAAACTCCACTCAACTCAAACAATGTACAAAGACTTAAAATAATCAACACCCAAACACCTCCATATTTGCTTTCATTCTGCATCCAGTCGAGAACACAAGAACACATCTCGGGTATTCCAGCAAACCAGAAGAACAGCAAGTCTCCCTTCTTTCTTCCTTCTTCTTTCCCTGTCAGACATACAAACGAAACATCCCAGTTCATCCATTGACACCAGTCAAAAAAAAACAAAAAAAAAGGAAGAACGAAGGAGCTGCAGACGCAGCCCCCTGCTCACTATTTCACTACTACTACAATGGTGCAATTACAAAAAGAAAGGGGAAGAAATCGACTAGGGGGCTGCTAGAGCAGACCCCCCCATAAGCTCACTTGTGATTATCGAGAGCAAAACCCACCGAAGTGGGTGTTTCCACGAAGCAAACACGGAACGCGACAACCCCCTCTTATCCCTCGACCTCTTCCCTTTCCCGACGACGCTGCTGACCTACCCCATCCCGTCCTTCCCGTCGGTCACGTCAAAACCCGAAGATTCCTCTCTCGTCGCACCTAGCAGCCGACCGAGAAGAGCGCATCATCGCTGCCTCCTCCTTTCTTACTCTTCGATCAAAGACCTCCGAAGGTCTCAGTTCATCGCTGCTGCTGCTCGTGACACCCATTGGACCATCCCTTTCCTTCGGTCTGGTCGACCTTCGGAAACGCCTCCGGGGATAATTCTTCATTGCCGACAAGCCCTTCGCTTCTCCCACATTTCGTTCGTCTGCCTTGATTCATCCCCGTTCCATTTATTTGTTCGACCCGAAAATGACGAAGACGGGAGGGTAAAGCCCTAATTCTTATTTTAAATGGATCCATTTGACAAGATCGGTCACGAGGCTTCAAAAATAAAATGGGTTTTGATTTTGACCAAGTCAAAGGTCAAAGCAAAATCAAACTTGCATTCGTTTTAATTAAATGTAACCCCAGAAGTTGCTGAATTATTTAATTTTAACCTTGAGATTTCCAAATGTTACGATTTTAACCCGTTTTATGAATTAAGTCAGCAATAAAGGTCAAGCTCACATTTAGAATACCCAGAATAAACCCTCCACCGGGAAACCTAACAAATTAAGTCCTAAAACCCTAAATCAGTTTCAAATGTACATGATTAGCCCCTGTTATGAGAATAGTTTGCAAGATCAGTCATTTTTGGTAAAAACAATCCCCAAAGTTTATTTATCTTAACAAAGACCAACGTATACTTAATAATTAATACCAAAATTACCCTGTGGTTTGTTAGGCAATTTAAATATACGTGGTGGTTCATTTTAGGAGCATGTAACGTCACGTAACATCTTTCACGGCAAGTGTCCCACCACGAACCTCGATCACGCTACGAAAGTGAGTGCTTACGGCCCCTTTTTAATATTTCAATTATTTTGAGGTGTGGGGAGTGGGGAATACATGTGTCAATATATTTTGTTTATACAAACCATTTACCGTTTTATGTGAAAATACAATAATCCTAGTTTATAAAAAATATTATTATTTAACAGTTTACTATATTGTTACAAATAAACTAGTATTAACTTTTCGTATACTTATTATAATTATTTTAACGTGAAATAATCAGTTAACACAATAAATACTACATGATACAAAATGATATGATTTTTATGTGCCATTGCATATTATAACGAGTACGTCATAAAACTCTGTAGTATTTCAAAAATTCAAGCTATTACTATGCATGTTTATTTATATGTTTATGCACACAACATTATATATATACACATATGTTCATTAATTTGAAACATTCATTTTTATAAAAGCGAGCACACCACATTCGACGAGTCTGGTCGCGAAGACTCATAGAAACTTCCTCACCTACTCGACGAGTCGTGGCTCTATATGAATGTTGTTATTGTTATTATTATGATTATGGGAGACATCACAGAATTTGGGTCAAAGACTGCGAACGGTAAAGTTCACAGTAAGTCATGATAAATTGACTGATTGAGTTTTAGTGCATCTAATATAAAATAAATGAGTTATTTCAAATATTACGTCTAAATGTGTAAATTGACAAACAAATCAAACAGCTCAAACTACAACCCTAAGAATATGTCTGAAAAACTGAAATTTCGTATTAAACAGTTATCAGCAACGCAAACCTTGTAGTCTCGTAGTAAATGTTTCTCTGTTTCCGAAAATATAGAAAAATATCCAAAACGGAGTTAGTATAAAAAAGATACGACCATTTGAAAATCCAAAACCAGTATAATATTGATTTTTCTTAAAATCAATAAAACTGTTTCTATCCGTCGAGGGACTTGCACACCTCAAATGGAAATTCTGAAAGCATTTTGGGACATAGACTATAACCTAATATTTAATTTCATATTTGAAATATTATTAGCAAAAAATATTTGTAAAAGTCATAAAAATCAGATCAATTAAACGCAAAACTTTAAGCACGGTTTTCCCAGAGTTCTACAACTTTAAAAACTAATCCGTTTGAGTTTTCGGAATCCTAATAACCGAGACCGTTATTCTTTATTTTCAAAAAAAAATATTTGGTATCGAGATCGATGACATACAAATTGAGAAAGTTGGAAAATAATAATTATAAAAATATGAAAGAATTAGTTTTTAAAGGGTTGGAGACTTATATATATGTTTGTATACTTCATGAATTCCAAAGAATAATAACAATCCTATATAATAAATCTTGGAGTCGTAATTATCTATGAAACAATTATGTCAGAAAAATCAGACCAATTAAACGCAAAACTTTAAACACGGTTTTCCTAGAGTTCTACAACTCTAAAAATTAATCCGTCTGAGTTTTTGGAATCTTAATAACCGAGTGTTGGAATAGCGTCTAAGGCTGCAACTATATTAGGCAAGTATTTGACCCGATTGTGCATGGTCCTTTTGGGTTGCCTTCACCATAGCAACTTGATAGGATGATTTATTAAGAGAGAGTAAATATTATTAGTATATTATGAGAATAATATAAAGAATAATATATAGTTATTTGATTAATATAAGTCATAGATTAATTAGTATTAATTTGGTGACTTAAGGAGATTAACTAAATAAGAGGGTATAAACTGTCAATTGTTTGATAGTTACACTTTAGACTGTAATTCCTTATTGGATAGAGGATGGATGAATTCTAGGGCTTGGATAAGCCAAAATTCGTCTAAGGGTTATCCAATGTAAGGATTAGGATCACTTGAAGTCTAAGTTATCCAATCAGGGTTTAAGCTATAACCCTTAAGGAGTCTACAAGTATAAATAGACCCTATGGGATAGAGAATTCGGTACCCATCTAAAGTAAAGATACTCTGGCTGAATTCCTCCCCTCTCCTCTCTCTCAAATCATCCTCCTTGCTATTTGGTGTTTGTAAGCCATTAGAGGAGTGACAATTGTGAGTCTAGAAGCTCCAAGACAACAAGATCAACAAGGAATCCAAATGTATGATTCTAGATTCGTTTCAATATTATTATTACACCTAAATAGTCATTAGAAGTCTTGGATTCAAAGCATGTTTGATTAGAAAGCCTAGATCCAAGCATTAGGGTTTTGCATGCGTACATAGGAACGTTCTTATGGCTAAAACCCATCAGTGGTATCAGAGCCTAGCTTGGTTTTCATTGAATTGTTGCTTGATTGTATGAAACTAAGCTGGAAAATTCGATTTTCATGTTTCTGAGTCATGGACTCGGCGAGTTCCAAAGTGGACTCGGCGAGTAGGCCTGACTCGGTGAGTCCCTTTGTGTACTCGGCGAGTCCGAGCGTCAGGATTAGCCAAAAACGGGATTTTTTTTCATGTTTATCTTATGGAAACTTACCTTAATCATATTAGATCAACCCTAATCCGATTTTGTGATATATATGACTATATTTTTGATCTAATTGAAGATAATTATCAATTAATAAAATATTTGATTTCCTTATATGATAATTATTAATCAAATATGGATAATTATGTGATTAGATTATTTGTTATTTGATCCTTTATGTTTTAAATGTTTAAAACTAGTCCTCAAGCTTTGAAATTTATGTTTTGTGATTAAAAGTTTAATTTAGACAATTTAAATTTCAAACCCTAGAATTTTACAAGTTTAAAATACAACCCTATACTAATATAATATTACAAGATTAATATATATATATATATATATATATATATATATATATATATATATATATAACTTAAATGCTAGTCTTACCGTTAGTAGGCCTCATTCACGAAGCCGGTCTATAAGGTGGGTATAAGGTTGCGGCCTATAAAATGGTGCTTAATGGGTGTACACTCACACCCACCGCTCGCTTGATTGGTGGAGGGTCGTTAGCCGAACGGGTAGGATAGGGCAACCTCATCCTCTCATTAAAAGTATAATAAGAAATACAAAGTAACTACATGTTTTCTTAAAATTTCCCAATCTTAGTTACTTTAGGAAAAGTGAATTGATGCAATCCCATGAGATTACACTTTGCACCTTGCTAAGAAGTTAGTGGAGCGTGTGTGGTTTACCGGCACACTAATTAGTTCTAAGCGAAGGTGGCAAACGGTGATTCATTGTTTATCATAGTTCGATGGAGCGTGTGTGGTTTACCGGCACATCGAATAGGTAATCGTGATAATGAAGGCACCATGTTAATTTGCATGGTAATTCACACCCGCTTTGTGATCCTCGGTATCCCAATCACAAACGAGAGGGGCATATCGAGATTTAAACATGCCATTGAAAAGTTTCAATGAATCTCATCCGAACCTAGGAATTCTCAATACATTTAGGACTTAAAGTTATGTTTTTCATGGTGGAGAATTAGTGAATCGTCATTCACTTACCTTCAAATTGTTTGCATATTAGATTACGGCATCCCTTTTCTATTGTGTAAATATTGTTGTTGGATCCTAGCCCTAATTCTTCTTATAGGGTGATAATTAGGGATTCATATTCTAATCTATCTTTGTCCTTTCTATTTGTAGATGTCGAACGCTAACAATGCTGTTGTGAGTTCTTTCACTTTGATGAGCCTTTGTCAAAAGGTCACCTTTGATGGAACAAACTTTAGCGAATGGATAAGATACATACACACGATTGCTCCCTATGAGGATAAGGAGTATGTCCTCGATGAGAAGCTCGAGAAAATCAACCCCGAAATCGCTACTCCCTCCGAAATCACCGCTTTCGAAACTCACGAGCGTGATGCAACTAAAGTCCATTGCATCATGATCGCGACTATGAACTCCGAATTACAAAAGTCCTACGAGGACATGTATCCGTACGAAATGCATCAAGACTTATTGGAGCGATACCATCAAAACGCGAGACAAGAGAGTTATGAGATTTTCACAAAACATGATTTCCGCTAAGATGGGTCATGGAGAATCTCTTACCGTGCACTTGCAAAAGATGCAAAGGTATGTTGACCGCCTTCGCAAGTTAAATGTTGACTTTGGAGAAGACTTGGCGATCGACATGGTGCTTCACTCTTTGCCTCCGAGCTACAATCAATTTAGGATGACCTATCACATGAACAAAGAAGAGGTCACCCTAAGTAAACTCCAAAGTCTCTTGAGGGTCACTGAGAGCAACTTCAAGGACAAGTCTGTTGCACCAACTCCCAATCCGCCCGCTGCTCCTGTCTTGGCAATTGGACAAGGAAAAGGAAAGAAGAGGAAGGCTTCTTCAAAGAACCATCGCAGGGTGAAAGCCCGAGATG